ATGTATGTGTGTCTGTGTGTGAATGTCACATGTGTGCAGGTACCAACAGAGGCCAGAAGAGGGTGTTGGATCCCTGGATCACAGGCAGTTGTAAATCACCCGATGTGGGTCCTGGGGATTGAACTCAGCTCCCTGAAGAGCAGCAAGCACTCCTAGCCACTGAGACGTTTCTTCAGACTCACAGGAGCAGCTTTTTCATTTGGGTTCTGGGATGGAATCCAGGTCGTTAGGTTTGGATGGTGCGTGTTTTTACCCATGAGCCATCTCACTGCCCCTCCCCCCCTTCTTCCAGCTTGTGCTGTTTTCCAGCCTTTCATCCTGCCCGTCACGGTTCCAGCCTCAGTTCCGTTACCTTCTTACCGCGCTGGTCTTTAGTCTGCTTTTGTTTCCCATTTCTCCAGTTGGACTATCTCCTTAATCAGCACAGGGGCTAAGGCTTATTTCCCTGTGAACTCACTCCTTATTGCGTTAATGGATGCATTAAGAATTCTACTTCAAGAACTCTACCTGCTCTCCAGAAAAATGATGCTTATTCAAGACTTTGCAGGAGTGTTTTCTTACATCTCAGTTGTCTTAAAATACCCACGACCATAAACTTACAGAAATCCGTGCTCAAGTTACCAAGCAGATTCTAAAATCTTCAGGGTCATAGTAAGTAAAACCAACCTAAAATATGAACAAGTTGGGGAGTTAATATTTGTTTTTAGTCCCCCATGCACGTTATTTCATTTAATATTCACAATGATCGATCTTAGGTGCACAAAGCCATAGATACAGCCTCATTTTACAGAGGAGGAAAATGAAATTCTAAGGTCCCTGGCATGGAGACAGACTCTGCCCTTCCCACTGTTACATCCTCCTGGCCAGATCTTCAAGTCTCTGCCCAGGTGTCAGGCTGACACATAGGCCAGGGTGGTCCAGTCTGACCTCATTGCCAGCACTATCCTGACCCAGGCAAAAATGAACCCTGTTTCTACTCTGCTTTCTGAGAAGATGCAAAAGGTCATTTTCAATTCCAGGTCCTCTGTGTGAGAACTAGGCTAACAGTTCTCTTCTGGAAAAGCCGCATCTGTGGCCATCCCGGGTTCTACCCAACAATTAGGAAATGCAGGGTGTGCTCTAGGGTGATGGCGTAAAGCATTGCCTAAAGTGCCTACGAATCCACTGTTGATTTAAAAAGAAGGAAGAGAGGAAGAGAGGGAGGGAGGGGGAGGAGGGAGGGGAGGAGGGAGGGAGGGAGAAATGGAAGAAGGGAGGGAGGAAGGAAGGAAGAAGGAAGGAAAGGAAGGAAAAGGGAGAGAAAAACAATCATCTTGTGGGTCACCTGC